GGGGCTTCCCTGGTGGCGCAGTGGTTGAGAGTCCACCTGCCGATGCAGGGGACACGGGTTTGTGCCCCGGTCCGGGAGGATCCCACGTGCCGCGGAGCGACTGGGCCCGCGAGCCATGGCCGCTGAGCCTGCCAGCGTGTCCGGAGCCTGTGCTCCGCAACAGGAGAGGCCACAACGGTGAGAGGCCCGCATACCGCCCAAAAAAAAAAAAAAAAAAAAAGGTGAGTGGAAGAAGAACAAAACCTAGAAAAAACAGAAGGGTAAGATGACAGGTAGGATAAAATGTGTAGTGGAGGCCAAATGGTAGACGGTTTTGATGAGCGCATGATTATAACAGAGTCAGAAGTTACAGAGATGAAGGAACAATAACGGTGGGGCAGAAGGCAGTTTGCTCTAAGTTGAAGAGGAAATAAGTGTAGTCTTTTTTGTTCTTAATGTAAACCTTTTATAGAAGTAAATATATATAGAGAAAAATTCATGTACCATACATGTAGACTGATGCATTTTTCACAGAGAATACACCCATGAAACCAGCACCCAAATCAAGAAACTAAACGTTAACTGCAACCACAAAGCCCCTTTGTGCCCTCTCAGGGTCACTACCCTACCTGCCACCCTGCTCCCTGTAACCTGACTTTTAACATCATAGATTAGTTTTGCTTGTTTTTGAAGTTTATAATGTATGTACCCTTTGGGTCTAGCTTCTTTGATTTGACATTGTGAAATTCATACATACTGTTGTATCATTCTTACTGCTGTATAAATCACATTTGTATAGTTATTTATCCAATCTGCTGATCATAGGCATTTGAACTGTTTGTACTGATAGTTTTTGTATTGACCATTATGACCAGTGCTACTATGAATATTAACATATACTATCTTTTGGTGAACATAGATATGCATTTCTGTTGGCTATCTTGGAGTGGAAATCCTGGTCATAGAGCATATATATATTTAAGTTTAGTAGATAATGCCAGCCAATTTTAAAAAATGCTCACATTAATTTACACCCCTACCGGGAGAGTATGAGTTCCAGTTGCTCTATATCCTTAATACTGTTTGTCTTTTAAAATTTCAGCCATTTTGGTGAGTGTGTTTAGGCTATCCTTTTAACAACAGTATGGTGACAAATGGTAGAAAGACAGTACCTTAAAGGAGAACAGCAGGAGCAAGAAACTGTATTTTAGGACGGGGATAACTATAAGCTAAGGGAATAGAATCAGAAGCTTAAAGGAGACTGAAGATATACAAAAGAGGGTAACTGGTGAACTAATGCCAACTTAATGCAGGCAAGAGCGAATGAGAACAGTTCTATAGGTTGACCCTTTTTCCTGTGGGAAAGGAGGGAAGAAAGTAGGCATGACTGACAATGTAATTTCTTAGTGAGAAAAAAGGAAGGGGTCATGTGCTGAGTATTGGGGCAACAGACCAAGTTAGGAACCCAAAGAAAATGGTAGAGAGAGCTAATTAAAGTGGAGTCAAAGGAATGTTAAATCACAGTGAAGGACATCTTCGAAGTTTTGGAGATTCATATTAGGAAGTTATAATTTAGCACGCTGCCCACTCCTCAACAGGTACATTTATGTCTTCAGAAGAATTTCCTTTGGTGGGTCAGAGGGGTCACATGCTGCACCTGGTTATTGTGTTTCTAACAGTATGGTAAGTAGGATTTTTTTCCCTGCTGTCCTAGAATTTCAACTAAGGTCCAAAGCAGGGGACTAAAGGTGCTAAGCATCTTACATTCTAAAGAGCTACCAACCTTTGGAGTCAGCTACCCTCCCTCAAGGGCTCACCGAGAGGAGACAGTTCAGGACAGGTCTTACCATCAAATCCCGGGCTCTGGCCTCTTCTCACCTTACCCCTATCCTCTCAATATAGGAAGAGATTGAGAGTTTGGTGAAAATACAGAATTTCAGTTGTGAGGAAAGGCACTCTCTCTCCCCTAAAGACACGTAAGGGGCACTCCAAGAGAATCAGTTGTAAAGATGAGAGCCTGTTAGAAAGGGAGAGACTATCCCATCTCATTCCCCAACTGGACTCCTGAGCTCAGAATCCATAGGCCCACTCTCCCAACTCCATACAGCTAGAGCGATGAGAGCTCTTGGAAGCAGTTCTGGGAGTCTAAAAAAATGAAGTTGAGTAGAGAAGGAGGGGCCATGGAGCCATGCAATGCGATACCTAACCTAAAGAAGGGGCTGGGGTCTATACCACAGATGGGGCTAAAGAAGGACACTGCTGCCCTTTGAGGGTTCTCAGCCCCATGGAGGCTAAGGGATTAGAAAGAATCAGAATGGACTAGAGAAAGGCTTGTGTCATCTCCCCACTACTGACATTCTGGCAGTCAGCAGTACCAGATGAGTTAGAGTCCTAGAAGGAGGAGGGGAAGGAGGTATCTCAGAGGCAGGCCATGGTCCCCTCCCCTACTCAAAACACTGGGACCAAAGCTCTAGAGCCTGTCTTGGGCAGGTGGAGGGAAGAAGGGAAAAGCCAAGCTTTAATTTTATTTGTAAATTTAAGTTTTAATAATGAGTGGGAATTTTATCTCAAAATAAAATGGGGAGGGACTTCCCTAGTGGCTCAGTGGATAAGAATCCACCTGCCAATGCAGGGGACACAGGTTCGAGCCCTGGTCCAGGAAGATCCCACATGCCGCGGAGCAACTAAGCCCGTGTGCCACAACTGCTGAGCCTGCACTCTAGAGCCCACAAGGCCTAGAGTCCGAGCTCCACAACGGGAGAAGCCACAGCAATGAGAAGCCTGCGCACTGCAACGAAGAGTAGCCCCCACTCACCAAAACTAGAGAAAGCCCACGTGCAGCAACGAAGACCCAATGCAGCCAAAAATAAATAAATTAAAAAAAAATAAAAAATAAAAAATAAAATGGGGAGGGGAGGAAATGGGACTAAGCTGTAAACACCAATATGACCAACATAAATGTCAAGAAGTTACAGAATTTGGGGCTTCCCTGGTGGCTCAGTGGTTGGGAGTCCGTCTGCCGATGCAGGGGACGCGGGTTCGTGCCCCGGTCCGGGAAGATCCCACATGCCGCGGAGCGGCTAGGCCCGTGAGCCATGGCCGCTGGGCCTGCGCGTCCGGAGCCTGTGCTCTGCAGCGGGAGAGGCCACAACAGTGAGAGGCCCAAGTACCGCAAAAAAAAAAAAAAAAAAAAAAGAAGTTACAGAATTTGGCCAAAATGTTGTTAAAGGATCTGTTGTTCACTGGTAAAGTTAAAAGTAGTGACACAAAAAAATTATCTCATACTGGTTAGGAATCGATTTTAATTTTAGCTGTTAAAAAATAAGACTCCTCCTTTTGATCTCAGAGAAGTTAGAAAAGTCTAATAAAGCTGGGAAGACATGTAAAGAACGGTCTTTGGGGACTTCCCTGGTTGCACAGTGGTTAAGAATCTGCCTGTCAATGCAGGGGACATGGGTTCGATCCCCGGTCTGGGAAGATCCCACATGCCATGGAGCAACTAAGCCTGTGTGCCACAACTACTGAGTCTGTGCTCTAGAGCCCGTGTGCCCCAACTACTGAAGCCCGTGCGCCCTAGAGCCTGTGTGCCACAACTACTGAGTCTGTGCTCTAGAGCCCGTGTGCCCCAACTACTGAAGCCCGTGCGCCCTAGAGCCTGTGTGCCACAACTACTGAGCCCATGCGCTGCAACTACTGAAGCTTGTGCACTCTAGGGCCCATGTGCTGCAACCACTGAGCTTGCATGCTGCAGCTACTGAAGCCCGCACGCCTAGAGGCTGTGCTCTGCAACAAGAGAAGCCATGGCAATGAGAAGCCTGCACACTGCAAGGAAGAGTAGCCCCCACTCACTGCAACTAGAGAAAGCCCAGAAAGTCCCTGTGAAACATTCCTGGTTATTTGCTGACTAGAGCAAAGTTTCAATTTGGTGTCCCCCCAAAATATTGGTCCCTAAAGTTTCTGGTTAAATACATTGGAGAAATATTCCTGTCTTGAAAATTCATAACCATTTGCATATCAATGGTATCCAAAAGTTCTAGAGTCAAAAAACAATCTGTTTGACCAGCATTTCTAAAATTTACGTGAATAGAGAATTTTTTTCCCCCTCCATTATATTTATTAAAAAGTCATAGCAGTAGGGTTCCTTGGGATACATGGAGAGAAACTTAAGGTTAAAATATGTACTCGAATGATAATAGATTTTATCTCAGAAGGTATTTTTAACTTTAACTTTGTTTTGCTGACTGTTACCACCCACCATGAAAATGTACCACATTGATTGTAAACAGGAGCAGTTATAAGAACATATATAAATGAGTAGGACAATAATTTTAAAGCCCTAAGAGTGAAACTGGGGTTAGTGTATGTGGGACATATAAAGCTTTAAGATTCAGATATACAGTTAGGCACATCTTCCTGAAATTTCTATTTTAATCAATGGCAAGTAAACTAAAATAGTTTTGGGCTACATCCTCTCAGATATCCTGCGAATGCGGATTCACTCTCTGCTGCTGGAAGGTTTGAGAAGAACTGAATTACAGCTTATGTTTTCCTAAGTATAGCTAACAAATTAGCAAAAAGATTTTCTGAAAATAGGAAAAGACTTAGAATTATTTAACTGAAACTTAAAGCTGTAATTCTACAACTAAACTCTTTCACATGCTCAATATCTGCCAGTAAACGTCAAAGTTTTCTATGAAGTATTATTATCAAAAAGAATATATCAAAGGAACAATCAGGTATTTTAGATTTTTTTGAAGTTCTACATTAAATTAAGGATATAGTTTAGGGAGATGCCTTCTATTAAAACACTTATATTCTGGTACTTTCGTAGAAATACGAATTTCCCTCTCAAGGTGAAAAAGGGGATATGATTTAGTTACTGAAAGTTTCATCTAATTTCATGTGGAAACAATCTGACGTGCAGAGAAGAATATTTCTTTCTCTCTTTTCTGAGATTTAAAAAATATGCCTAAGAACAGAAGTTCCTGAATAAAAACATTTCACCCAAAGTATAGGCTTACCTGTATTCCAGCATGGCTACAGAGGTAAAAATCAAACTCATATGGGTGTGTAATGTCTGTATCAACTGTTGTTCCAGCTGGGATATTGCCACTTCTTCCGACCTAGATTTGTTTGGTCAAAGTTTAAACAAACAAGACAAAGATAAAGAACGTGCCTGAAAGCACTTTTAAAAAGATATAAATGCATAGGCTGATCCCATGTTTCACTACTTTCGGCTTGAAATATTACTTAAGCAGGCATTAAGAGCAGACCTTATTCTAGTCCTAGTTCCTATTCTTAAATGTTGCTGAAAGTGAAAGCTGATAACAAAAAGTTATTAGTTTCTACTGATGCTTAGCTGGTAGTTGATTGCAAAACTTAAAAAAATTTTTTAAAAAAAGTTACTTTAAATGCTCCAATTTATGACATCTGTGCAGAGCAGGTACTCTTGAATGTGCAGTTTTATGAAAATTAGCATTTTTCTCAGAGAACCCTATATTTTTAGAGGGAAAGAATGCTGACCACAGCATCAACTAGAGTCACCATTTGTTAACCATTTATATGCCAGGTACTTTACATACGTTATTTCTAATCCTCATAATCCTGCAAGTTAGGTATTATTCCCATTTGTCTGGGGGGAATCTACAGCTCAGGAATACAAAATAACTTGCCCAATAGCATACAATAAAGGGAAGAACTGAGAATCAAACATGGAAATGACTGCAAAGGCCCTATTTCTTTTATTTTATATTAGCAGTTTCAACATCTTGTAAGAAAACAGACACCATGATTTTCTCTGAGTAATACATGATGTAGGTGAAAAAGTTCGAAACTCCTGATAATGAAAGTCTCCTAATAAAACACTTTAAATGCATATATATACTTACCTCTACCTCCTTATCCCTAACATATTTAAAATCATTAATTGTAAATTGAGGTTTACAAGGCTAACAAATCAGAGACTCTTTTACTGACTCAGACATTATTTCTGCTGTATGAGGGACTGTTACCAGGTGGTGGCTGGAGTTATATCTGTGTGGACCAACCAGCTAGCTTCACCAAATCACAAAATAAAGAAAACAGTTCATAAACTACAAAATTGTGCCTATTCTTAACACACAAATCTCCTAATTAATATATATTTAAAAGTTTTATTCTCTTTAGAGAGGCGGCAGAATGCCTGGGTTCATATCAGAGCTCCACCAGTTTCTAGTCAGGAAATCTAGGGCACAGCATTTTCCTCTCTGTGCCTATTTCCTCATTTATAATTATCTCTCATCTATTATGATTAGTAGATTTAGGGCAAAGATGAAAGAGAAGCAAACAAATGAAGGAAAGGCACAATTAAACATCAGTTGCAAGAAATAATTAAATCTAACTTAGGTTTTCCTGATCTAACTTTTGAAGAAAGCTTTGGTTTTCTAGGTACAGAAATGTAATTTGGGGCACAGGCCTTTAACAACATGGAGGCCAAAATAAAACTATCATTACTGCTATTAGAGATGTGGTATAGGACAGTGATTAAGAGTACTCTGGAGCCAGATTGCCTATTTTGAGTCCTAGCTCTACCAATTTAACCTCCATGTGCCACAGTTTCCTACTGTGAAAAATGGGGATAATAAGTACCTCATAGTGTTGTTTGTGAGGGTTAAATGAGTTAAATTTATAAAAAATATCCAGAACAGTGCCTGCCATTATGCCCTCTTTTTCTCTATCACTACCACCATTACCACCACTCTACAACTAGGTAACCTCCACTGAGTGCTTAGCATGTGCCTAAGCACTGTTCTAAGTACATTACACATTTTAATTTAAAAAGAAATCCTTTCAAAAACCCAAATAAGGCAAATATTAATATTATCCAAATCTTGCTCAGAAAGAAACCGGCACAGAGATATTAAGTTACTTGCCCAAAACTACACAATGAGTGTAATCAAAGACCAAATATGTACCAAAGACACACTCCTTTCTTTTTCAGTCTTTTCTATTGATCCCCTTTCCCAAGGGGACACTGACCCTTGTACTCCTCAGATTTCTCTGCTCTAAGGTTTACAGGATGTGGGCAGAGCACTGAAAATGAAAGTTAGTTTGTATGAATTTTCACTAATCACTCTTGAGTGTCCCTAGCTTGTAAAATTAATTTTTACAAGATATTTAAAAAATAGAACATACCTTTTTTCTTCTGAACATTTAAGGAAAATATGAATAAAAAGAACAATTTTAAAACTATGAGTTTCTTCATAACAACAAAAAAGTATAATGGGATTTTGAACATCTGGAGTGTTACTAGAAATTCTAGAAAGTTAAAAATTAACTTATTTTGATGCTCCTATCCTCATAATCAATCTGCTTTGCTGTAACCTACTACTATATATCAGAAACTCTGCTGTTGGCAGAGAGCCTTTGTTAAGTGCTCTATGAACTATGTTAGATAACCTTGGCTTATAACAGTATTACAATAAATGTAAGATTACCCTTTCAGTCCTATCAGCACAAAATAATCGAGTGTGATGCCTCTTCTGAACTACAATGTAAGTTATTCCAGGTTGATAGTCTTTCTCCAAACTGATGCAGGCTTCTCGAATTGCTAGTAGTTCATAATATAATACCTAGAGAAGATGAAATGGAAAGTTTTGATCAAGTCAGTTGTTCTCCTATACATACTTCAAAGTAAGACAATGATTTAGACTTAGAATTTCTTAAACTCATCACCTCACAGCTAATTATACTTCTCTATTCCATTGTAACTATTATCAGAGCATGGTCTTAGTGATCAAGGCTTACATATCCAGTAAATATTTTAAAAGGGAAAATCTAAGGTAGTATCAAAATTTGACTTTAGGAACCCTCAATTAAGCCTCCTAACTTCAGAACTAGACACCATATTATAAACACATTATCTGATTTAACCACAGTATGATGAGAATCCCAGGCAACCAACCTGCCTAAACTGCCCCTCTGAAACACCATCCCGATAAAAGATGATACGAGTAGGTTTGAACCGAGTTGACTTATAAAACTGAATGAGAAGTTCTCGGACCATGGAGGCAAGGTCCTGGATGATCTCCTGTCGGGGTCTCTGAACTCTTACTGTAGCACAGTATCTGCTTGGGTGGGCATCCATACTACCTACAACCTAGGTTGAAAAAAGTAAAGAAAACATAGAAATTAAGGTATTCAAAACTATATGAATATGAATTTTACCACAAAAAAGTTGAAAAATAAAGGAAAAGGATTTCATTTAAATTTGTATTTTATTATAACCTTAACTATTTATCACAGTTCATTTTGAAAGTAATAAAAACAGATAATTCCAGTGAAGAACAGAATAAAAGACCCAGTCTAGGGTCAAAAACTATTTTCCCATAAGTAGGCTGTACTTTATATTTAACAATTTGGTTCTAATTTACAGATGTTGCTGGTAAACCTAAACATTAGTAAGGATAGAAAGACAGAGATGTACATAGAGGAAGGAGATAAATAAAAAAGAAGGTCCATTCAAACTCCTGATTTCTCTTTATAGCTCTTACAGTTTAGCAAACTACCCCAGAAGCCATATTCAAGATGACTTTGGCATTACCTTAAGAACTCTTATGTTTCATAAATTTTAAATCTTGGTTTTGAGAGTAGCTATCTTAATTTTTTCTCTGTGTGTCTTAATATTGTTATGTGTTTGGAGCAGAGGGAACTCTGAAGCATGAACTTATAAGTTCTCCTTGACTGTAGTCACTCATAGGTCTACTGAAGCATAATCACTGGAACCAGAATATTTAGAAGTGTTCACACATCACTGATCAGAGCCTGGGCCAAGAACCAGCTGGTTATTCTACCTCCAGCTTCTCTTTCTTCCAGGGTAGTATCTATAACAAAGTCATGCTTCAAAAATGGACCTCTGCACCTCCATGTTCACTGCAGCATTATTTACACAGCCAAGACATGGAAACAACCTAAGTGTCCATTGATGGATGAATGAATAAAGAAGATGTGGCATATACATACAATAGAATATCATTTGGCCATAAAAAAGAATGAAATCTTGCCATTTGTGACAACATGGATGGACCCTGAGGGCATTATGTTAAATGAAATAAGTCAGACAAAGACAAATACCATATGATGCCACTTCTATGTGGAATCTAAAAACAAAAAACAAACAAAAAATCCCAACTGAGTTCATAGATATAGAGAACAGACTGGTGGTTGCCAGAGGGGTGGGGTATGGGTGAAATGGCTCAAAAGGTACAAACTTCCAGATGTAAAATAAATAAGCCATGGGGATGTAATGTACAGTATGGTGACTATAGTTAATACTGTATGGCATATCTGAAAATTGCTAAGAGAGTAAATCTTGAAAGTTCTCAGCACTTGCAATTCAGGGGACACCAGTTTGATCCCTGGTCAGGGAACTAAGATCCCAACATGCCTTGGGGCAACTAAGCCTGGGTGCCACAACTAGAGAGCCCTCACACTGCAACTACAGAGCCCACGCACTCTGGAGCCCACATGCCACCAGGAAAGATCCTGTGCACCACAACTAAGACCCGGAGCAGCCAAAAAAAAAAAAAAAAAAAAAAAAAAACATCTCACAGAAAAAA